ACTAGCACGCTAAACAAATCACGAGAGACTCGACAGTCCGAGAGCGAAACGTGAACCTGCAATTTCCCACGTACACGGACGCGTGCGTGCGTGCGCGCGCAAGAGAGAGAGAAAGAGAGAGTGAGAGAGAGAGAGAGAGAGAGCTCACCAGCCAGGACACTGGATAATTAAAGCTGCGAGGCACGTTTTGATCGAGTTTCGCCCCGATTCATTCGCCCGCGCTGATTGTTTCCCGTTTCAATTTTCGGGAAATTGGAAAAAAGAATCCCGTTTCGACGCGCCAGCGTCCAGGAAATAGACGTTAAAACTGATTTGCCGAGGGAATTCGAAATGGAAAGCGACCTCACGTCATCTTCTCTGTTGAGGCTGAACTATGATTCGATATTTTCGTCTCTAATCGTCGAACCGGGAAGCCTGCAGGTACATCTTCGTCAGAGTTTTTGATTAATTAAGAGAGAAGTGTGTTGGATGTTTTATCACCTTGAGTCTCGATATCAATCACCTTCGACTTAGCCTCTACATTCCAGGACCCGAATCATCCAAGAATTTTCCAACTCTCTCAAAGTCTTTAATTCCGTCATAAATCAAGTCACCAGGTGAACGAATAAAATTTGAGTCAGGATTGAGCCACCCTCGACCACTGAAAAGGTCAAAGGCAGCCTCCTCAACACGATATGTCAGCTCAGCTCTTACAGTCTCAGACCTGGAGTACCCAATCCACTTCATATCCCGTCGGAAGACCATAATTTCGTCGCAGATCAGGTCACCGAGCGAAGGAGTAAGCCCCGAGTCAGAATTGATCGCTAAAGAGGCCAAAGGCAGCCGCCTGAGACCCGCCAACGTCGTACGATAAAGGCCGCGAGATCGCATTCCAGTATTTCCAGTATTCCAGGTGACCATCGGCGTCCTGCCGCGAGACTATCGACTGGACCGCTTCGTTAGCGACGCGCCATAACCAAGACAACGAGGACAGCGCGAAAAATCCAAGGACGACTAACGAGGAAGCTGGAACCGAGATATCGACGACCGGCGTCGAGTGGCGGCCAGGTTGCGCTCTTGTCGAACCACTCGTAACGAGGAGACGCTGGTTCGTCTTTATGCGATGAGCAGGTCGATCCGCCGAAAAGGACGAACGGCCGCTTTTCGGCGGTACGGATTAAACGCCGGGATCAAGTATGCTTGGTAAAGGTGGCTCAAGTGCCGCCGCGGAACGACTAAATTGAGGGAAAAACCGGCGCTGCGTTGGATGTCTGATCTCGTGTCCGCGTTTATCTCCAATTGGGAAATCGTTGCCGAAACGTTGCAAGAATCGAGGCAAAATAATTAAGAAAACATTGTTCGCGGGGTTAATTGTAACAGGAATTGATTGGTCTAAAGGTCGATTCAGACTATACGACGCGGACCGTCACGTTCCGGCACCGACACGACAAAACATTAAAACGCGCGTTTTAATGGAACTATTCATGCTATTCCCGTTGACGGAACGTTCAGGTCGGTGTCTGTTAAGTGTGAATAGTCCCATTAAAACGCGTGTTTTAATGTTTTGCGTCGCCAGTCCGTGTCGTATAGTCTGAATCGACATTAAGAGTTATATTTCGTGTACTCGAACGCTGTCTTAGTCAGTGATGGGCAAAATCGTAATCGCAAATACGAATACGATTGTAATCGCATCTTTCCGAGTTGTGATTACGAATACGATTACGACCGTATTTTTAAAGATTTACAGCCATTGAAATTCTTTACCTCAAAACCGACTTCAGATTCGTGTTCTTCACCCCCAAAAACTTAGAAAACCATACATTCGTCGAAATCAAGAATGAAAAATTTTCAATTAAAATTCGTCTCCATAGAGCAGAGCCTAGATAGGGTAGCTTTTAAAAAAATTTTTATTTTGACGAAAGCATGGTTTTCTAAGTTTTTTAATGCGAGGAACACGAATCTGATGTCGATTTTGAGGTAAAAAATTTCTATAGCTGAAAATCTCTAAGAATACAGTCGTAATCGTATTCGTAATCACGACTCGGAAAGATGCGATTACAATCGTAATCGTATTTGCGATTACGATTTTGCCCATCATTGGTCTTAGTAGACGAAAACGAAGAAATAGGTTCAGAAATAGGGGATGATTCTTTTCATAGGGATGGTATTCATCCCCTTTCTTAGATTCTCTAACAGCATCCATCTTTTTTAAATGTAATCCTTTCGAATCACCTGTACCACCAATCAAAATGGAGTCTACCACTATTTTCCTACCCCATAAGGTCTCTCCAAATGAAGGTAACAGACACCGCCAGGCCACCTTAAGCTCATACTTCCAGAGACCCCCTGAAGACAACCTGAAAGCTTCAGCATCCTCCAATGAAAGACACGTAACCCCAATTTACTAATCTCTCATTAAACAAGTAACCTTCACCCTCGAGGACAAAGAAGGTACCTGGGCCAGGGTTCATCGCGTTTTCCACAGTAGACTGACCAAATCCCGATCCATTAACCCCCGGAACCAGCCCTAAACGACGTGGACCGCTCACTTCCAGCGAGGTTCCCACGCGCATCGCCTCTCGGGAAGGTAAATTCAGGTCTGGTTGAAATGGGAGCAACGGAATCCGCGGTACAACGTTTTTCCCGCTGTTTGCTGACCCCGTGGTCCTTTAGTCGGTGTTTGCTCGTGTGCCAGGGGTCTCGAGACGCACTCGAGGATGCCGTCTCGAAGGCCTCGAGACGTCGAGTGTCTCATTTTTGTTTGCTGCCTCGGGATTTTCCCGACAAAGGCCCGCGGGGATTAGAGATCTATCCGCGCTCTCGAGCGGACTCCCGAGTGCTGCTTGCGCTAATTTCGATGCTTTCCTTCGTCCTGGCTACCTACCGGTGATGTAGGTCGAGGAAATTAGGGTGGGACTGGAAGTCAAGTCCTCTTGGGGTGACTGTTTTTCTTGGGACTTTCGAGGAAGGGTGGTTCGAACAAAGGTTGTGTAGTTTAGAGATTAGGCTAGAAGTCAATTTTGTAAATAGTATTCCTCTTCTTAGGGACCGTAGGGCATGGAGTTAAGCATTGATAACTACAGGTGCAATTATCCCGCAGAGTCAATCTAGATCGTTATATCAGTGTACTTAGTACACAAATTCAAGAAAGTGGAAATCCCCAATAGGATTCCATTCACCCTTCCAAAGTACTTCAAAATCCAACCCGGCTCAGACATTGGCGCAAACAGTGAATCAAAATTCTCGTCAAAAATATTCAAAGGCCCCGAAAGCACAAAAGACACTCGACAGAAAAGAAACCGCTCCTGATGGCTCGAATCAAACCCATCCAACCCCGACGCGAGAGATCCAGCTGACGAGGGCATCCGCTCCACATCCCCGCGACCAAAGCGTCCCAAATCCCTCCCGAAATCCCGTGGAACTTCCACGAATCTGGAAAAAGGGTTGAGCCGGCTGGTGAACGGCCGCGAGGGGTAGGCCACGAGGGGTATTTTCTGGGCTCGTGCACAAACTGGATCACTCCTGGCCCCGATGGACGTAGGTGAACCGTGGCTAACATCGTGGCCGCGGTTACCTTTCGACCGGTCCCCCGTCGGCGACCCCATTCCGGGGGACCCCGACGAGCGAAGAAAAGGGAGACGGTGGCGCACCGCGCGATATACGCGGCCAACAAGACGAAGAAGACGAAGAAGACGACGAAGAAAAAGGCTTGGCCCCCGTAACAAAGGTCGGGCTGTGCCCAGCCATTGACATCGCTCCGGGGCCCAGGCTGCTCAGGAGGACTAGATTTCACGAGCCAGCGATGCAGGATCCTTCAAAGGACGCCGACACGGACTGGCGCAAAAAGGATTCGCAAAAAAAGGTGAACCGGGTGGGGTGGGAGCAGCGGGGAGGGTGGAGGGGTGGGGAGGCAGAGGCTGCTGAAAGAGCCAGGCTTCTTTGCTCGACGCTGGCTTCCGCAGGGCCCCTCTTCTTCTCGGTGAAAAGGTGAGACGTGGAGGCTAATAGAGGCCAGAGGGGAGAACGGGGCCCCCGGCAACTACTTGACGGCGAAATCCATCGCGATAGCTTAATCCCTGGATTACACGGTGCCTGGGTAGGGAATCCTCGCGGAAATCCGATCGCGGACCGTCTGCGTTCCTCCTCCGCTGGAATCCTTCTGTTTTAGGGCTGCATCTCGCGGAGGAAACGCGGGGACGTTGCTCCGTTTCCGGCCCTTTCGCCTTCAGGGACCCCTCGGGGCTCGCTCGGATGTTGGGGACTTCCGGGACGAAGTGTACCCAGGTGGGACGCTTAGAATTATTGGCCGGGACGTTTCGTTATCGTGTTGTGTTTTCGGAAGGGCGAAGAGGGCGTCAGGGGTTGTAGGCAAATTTAGTCGCTTTGCGATTCTGGTGTTGACCCCTTGGTATACAGTCACTCCAATAAGCATTCGTACTCTCTATGTCTATCGAAGACATTGTCTAAATTAAATGACAGGCTTGCTGTTCCCAAATGAATTTTTCATTATAAATATACATATGAATAAACTTTGCACGTGTATGTATTTATAATCTAACATTAATTTGGAAACACCAAACCTGTCATTTAATTTAGACAATGTCTTCAATAGACATAGAAGGTACGAATATTTAATAAAAGTGTAGACAATAATTCTCGGCATCACCTATAGAGATCCTCTTAATCCTTAAGCATCATCAACCCTTGAATCAACCTTGCTCGGAATCCTGACCGGATCAATTTATCACTCCTTTCCAATAAAAAAGCCTCAAGACCTCGTTCTCACTTAAAGTAGCTCCCATTAAATCGTACGTAATTTCCAAATTAATCTCACCTCCCTCCCCCCTTCCCGTCCCGCCCCCTGATCCTAAAATCACGAACGATAGCACCGAAATTGCAAGGAATTTCGCGAGATTATCGTCGATCAAGCGTCGTTCTTAGTCGTCATCGTCGCGCACAGAGCGCCGGGGCCTAACGAGCTTTTAATCGGGGCGATCGTTAGGTCGTTAGCCGCGGCAAAGTTAGGCGATTAATTGCGAGACTCGGAGCTCCGGGAACTTAGTGGCTAGTAAGTAAGTAATTGTTTGGTTGTCGGTACGTACAATACTTACAAAGTCGTGCTTGTCGCTGATGTTGTTGGTGAGCTTGAGTTTGTGGAAACTGACAACCTTCTGCATCCATTGCTCGCCCGTGCTCGGCGAGTCCGGATGGATGTACATCCTCTTCGGCATTTCCGGGTCGGCCTTCCCCGCCACCATCCACCTGCTGCTCGGCAAACACATCGACGAGGGTTAGAGATTGTTTCGGAATGTCAAAGGGATGGCTACAATTTAAAGCCTTGGTACATTTTTCTTAAAACTCCTAATGTAACAATATTTCAAATTAAAATAGGAATAAATATAAGGGAAACATTATCGAGTACGATATAAATAAAAATTGTGCAAATAAAGAATAATAGTTTTAGGTATGAAAATGATTAGTCTGCTAAAGCAACTACAATAATATCGAGCAACGCTTCGAACAAAATCGTCAGAAATAAAAATTTGTATTTCTATGAAAATATTATTTATGAAGATCCTTCTCGTTTCACGTGATCGGAGTAAGTTGGCCGCAGAAAGAGAAATCGCTATCGGTGGTTTCTGGTTTCGAGCTATCACGAGGAAGGAAGCGAACGCGAGGTGTCGAGGCCGAAGTTTCTCGTCTGTTCCACGACTGCCTGATTCCTCTAAGCACCGGCTACCGCGATTGTTGTCTTTTAAGAGAGGCGTGTCTAACCGTTGGTAGTCCGATCATCGCAGGTGGGTCAAACGACCGAAGGAAGAAGAACTCGTTCGACGAGTTCCAAAGTGGCTGCGGTCGACGGCGTGATGTAATCGTTCATCGTAATCTCGCTGTTTCGATTGGCCGCCCCGCCGACTCCGAATGCCTTTTCGCGTGCATTTTCGCAAGAAAGTTGCCATCGATTCGCTTTCCTTTCACTCGAACCACGAATCTCTACGATATTTCAGAGCTTCGGTTGGAAATCGAAAGCTGGGCCCTTGGAGGACAGTGGGAGACTGAGGTTGGTGAATTTTGATGGTTGAAAGTGGGATAATGTCGACTGAAAATGCCGAAGACCATGTTAATTTATTCGTTGGATATTTAATTGTAACACTCTAAACAGAATGAGATATCCTTCACAGTTCAAAGGAATTGGACTCAACTATAAGGTCTTGATTTATAGAAACACGTCATGAGTCTCAAAATATGAATCTTCCTATACATTCCAACATATTAGATCCAATAAACGTAATACTTTCATTGGAAGTCTAAACTACCTCCTAAACCCTTACATACACTACAACTCCTTATACAAACTCCCTCAAGCCTCTTCAAACTCACAAAATTCCACAAACAAAATCAATCTCTAATAAAGACACCACTTATCGATCTAAAATCACCTATTCAAGCCTAAAAGTTACCTCAGAATACACCACAAAACTCCATCAAACCCCTCAAGCCTCTTCAAACACACAAAATTCCACAAACCAAATGAATCTCTAATAAAGACACCACTCATCGCTCTAAAATCACCTATTAAAGCCAGAAAGTTACCTCAGAATACACCACTAAACCTCATCAAAATTATAAATCCCAGTAGTCATCAAACTCCGTCCTCTGTAATCCAGCGAGTTGGTCTAAACGCGGGAAACGCGAGCGATTTCGCCCACGCAAAAAGCGTCCATAAGCTGAATCGCTGGGTACGAGATCCCGTTTCGTACATTCACGTGGGAATTCGCTCGCGTATTCGCCATTTACGCGCGCGCGCGGCCGCGATTAAGGAGCCCCGCGGATCGGCCGACACGTTTCCTCGGATTCCGCCGCTTTGTTTCCAAGTCGAACGGCAAATTTTCCGCCGACAGCTTTCCCGGGAGGGCAATTATGTTCCGTTTAACACCCTCGCGACGCGCTGAGACGCGGAACCGTTTCCGGAAAAACGTTAAACGGCCGCGACTGTCGGCTGATGCGTCGTGAGAAACGCCGAGGAATCCTACGTGATTTTCTGGGAAAAGTTAATGGCGAACTAAACGACCGACAGGCGAACATGCGCGTTCCCGCTGGCGTAATTAGAAGACACCGAATTCCAGGGAAATCGCTTGTACGGAGGAAAAAGTTTCAGGAAGCGGACGAGGATGCTTCAATGGCAGATTTTTTCGATGCCGGGCTTTGTCCGGGGGCCTAGTTTCGAATTGAAATTGGATACATGAGAGTATTCTGTTTTCTGAGGAGATTATCCACGCTCTGAAGATGGTGAGATTCCTTGGCGGGATGATTCAAGTTTAATGAGAGCCCTGAGGTAGGGACTTGAGGGAATCCTAGTGCTAGAGCTAACGTTAGTGTCGATGTACGATTCTAGACTCTACTAGCTACAAAACACTGGATTTCTTAATTCTAACTCTGATGATCTCGTCCTGCGTCCCGCCAACCTACAGTTTCTCAAAATCCTTCTTTATTCGGCATTATAACCTACATTCTAAATATCATCCACCCTGAAGAAAATTGGTAACATTAAAAATGTCCATGCAAGCTGAATAATTGCAAGGATTTTTTAACCACGCCGTATTCTCGAAGCGCAAAATTGTTTCGACAAGATAACCAGCCTCGTTATCAAATTCCCGGGGCGGGTATTATAATTTTGATACATAAATTTCCCCCCAGTGAAAGCGGCGGGTGAAGTTGTAAACCGAAACACGGTAATAACGGTTGTCAGAATTTTAAACGTGCAATCTTCCGAGCGCACAATTTTTCTGGAGAGACGACGCGCTAATTCGAACGGAAGTGTCACTATAATCAAGCATTTCGAACGCGATAATTTCGAAATATAAATCTTTTCCGGAGAAAGTCGTAAATGAAATTACAGGCTCGGGAGGATGACGATAAGAAGCGTCGAGATTTATAACGCCCGTAATTTCCGAAGTGGCAACTCTTCGCGGAAAAAGATTAGATAGAAAGTTTTCGGATCAAGATCTCTGCATTGCTATTCGTAGGTATTTGTGAAAGCACAAAGATAATGTGTTGAAGTGAAAATTAATGCAGAAGTCAACTTGAACTATTAATTAAAAATTGTTTAAATTTAATTTAATTTATATTTTTAACTTGAATGGGTTGCTAAACGTCTTGTATACTGAATGCTACAATTAAAATTTAGTTTTAATTTAAAATAAAAATGAGATTTAAATAACAAAATGAGTATCAACAAGCTCCAATTTATTTTTCGAGCTAAACACGGCACCGTTTTGGAGGTAAAACCAAAGGGTGACCTCATCAGCGAACGCCTCCCGCCCAGAACAAATTCTCACTTCATCATCATCAACAGTTTGAGAAAAGAAGAAAAATGAATAAATCCCCGCGAGCTTATCGCGCAAAGTGCCAACAGCTCGAGCCACCGCACGAAAGTATCGAATAATCAGATAATTGCATTAATTTCCGTACTACGAGAGCATGTCGGCACGAAACGCCTCGACGCAACAGCCTGGCGGTTCGAGGGACCGTCAGGATCGTTAACGTGAGCCGCCTCGCGACGATTACACCTTTGGTTTCCCTTACCTGTTGTGGAACTTGTATCTGTAGTCGTCGGCCGCCACGATGTCCAGCAGTAGCATGTACTTTGCCTTGGCGTCCAATCCACTCACTCGGAACTTCATCTGAGGGAACATCTGCCTAGACCCCGGATCAACAGGTACACTTCGATTAGATATTAATAATAATCACAAGGAAAAGTTATTGCACACAAGCCTGAGCCATCGGTTTCACTCGTCGTATCAATTTTCAATCTTATTACGAGATCTGTCACAGCAATGCTAGAGTTTCTGTGCATTTGTTTCACGTAAGTAATGAATAGTAAAAATGCAAAGATTTGTCGATAGATGTGATCAAAACTGATGGCTCTAGTGTTATAAATGAGTGAAATAAAATGTACAGAAAATATGAGCCGTTCATCGTACAAATCGATTAACACCACTTTTTTAATAATCTTACATTTAAGTATCAAAGCATTTGGTATAGTCATAACTTTATTATTACTGATTTTAAACTTTTTGTTTTATTCAGTTAATCGAGTTGTGTAATGATTAGCCACATAGCTTCACCATAAGAATTGTCACACTGACCAAGATATGAACTCAAGTAGCTCGTACAAAGTAGGATCGATCTCAGTTGACCGCTCAAGGTTACTTCCCCCACCATAAATCAATCAACCCCTACTCTTTTACAAGTCTGGAATCACTCGTTAGACTTAGGCGCGCTTACTAAGAAGATTTTGATCCCGAACCTGATCGTAGCTAAGAAATGCGAAGAAATAAAGCAAATTCGAATCTAAGGAAGTTTAAACGCTCGTCAAATGGATCGTGGAACGTTCGTTTTCAAAGTTAGGTTCGCGGACGCGATCCTCGAGAATAATTGGCCAATTTTTGGCATCGCGGAGCCCCGCCACGCCCCCGCGACGAAGTTCGCCGAGCCCCTTCCGGTAGACGGCACACTTCCTTCGTTCGTTTTCATTCAGGGGCCAACGCGGAGCGGGTGCAACCACGCGAAATTCGTAATTGCGCGAAGGAAAAATAACGAACTTCTCGCAAGACTCGGCTAATCTCATTCAGAAAGACTTTCTTCCTCGTTCTTCCGCGACTCGTTGCGCGCCCTTTCAAAGGGGATTTCGGCGTGAATGTTGAGCTTCTCGGTTCGTTAAAGCTCGTTACGGGCCACGTCGACTCGCGGGACATCCATTCGTGAATTTTTTAGGGACCGACTTCGAGTGCATTTCGATGAATTCGGCTTCTTTGGGAAAATATCAGGGTTGACATGTCGAAGTATATTTTTCAGAGCACGGTAGAGGCATGGAAGGGTACATGTCTCACTTGGGATGAGTACAATGTTGAAGATTCTAGAGGATTGTTGGAAAAGGCAGCAGGAGCATTATAAATCTAAAGTGTAGACAAATCGCGTGCTGAAAGGGTTGACCAATGCTCAGAGGTGCAACAGTGTCACTTGGCAGAAATCCTCAAAGCTCCGAACATCAATCCACCTTCAACCAAATTCCAAAACTCGGGCCTAATCTGACCTCCACGTGCGTCCAGAATGCCCCTTAAAGCACGTGGCCGCAAGCATTCTGGACGGGACGAGTACAGTGTCCTGGAATCGTGAAGAAAAAGGCGTCAGAAGCGTCATCGATCGACAGGAGGAATAAATCTCGCGCCGAATGGGTTGAACGGTGACTGGGGACGCGACAAAGTCACTTGGCGGAATCCTGAAAGGTCGGAATAGAAACGTGCACGAGTCAATCGGCGATGCTGTCAGACGACGGCCCGCTGGAGGCGCGTTCCCCGGAATAAAAAGCAGACCTCGGCGCAGCGCGCGAGAGGCCATCAGCACGCGGCAACCTGGCGAGCAGTTAGGGAGGAACTTGGTGCACGTCGGGGAATTATAATCCCCGGTGCACGAAGAAAAGGCGCCTTCTGCCGCGCGCAGCGACGTGGACCGCTGATCAGCGCGCACGGCGAGATGCCACTGCCCTGGCATTTCGTGGCCCGAGCGTGTTTTGACTTTTTCCACGCGGGCTTTGTAAGACACTGGCAGCGACAGGAATGCCGCGGCTTCGTGAAAATACCGCAGCTACCTCGACGATGACGCGCGATGGACGCGGCTTTTTGGAGGGAAGCTGGTCGACGTTCTTACGGACGGGACGGAGCTTTGCGATGGTGGAGGAAGTTAAATGGACAGGTGGAGGATTTGTGGCAGAGATTGTTCGCTTAATATGTTAGTGTTTATGACGTATCCGTGGGTGGATGCGATATAGATTGCTTCTGATCTATCATAGGGCACGTAGAAGTGTATTACTTGCTGATAAGTAATGGTCCGCAGTAAGTGGAAACCTAACCTAGAAATTGTACAAGATGAAACCTGTCATAGATGTCACCACCATCTTCTATACGACCTAACGTAAAAATTCTATAAGAGAGGACCTGTAATACACAAGCCCCATCCGTCTTCTACGGGCCCAAACCTGAAAATTCTACAAGAGGATACCTACAACACAAGTCACGTTCGCGTCCAACAGAACCTAACCTAAAAACTGCGCGAGAAAGAACGTTTACCAGAGAGATACAAGTGTTCTCCAAAAAAGTTCCATACCGTCACTGCTGCCAACATTCCAATTTACACCAGGGCCTCTCGAACCAAACCGCGATGGATATATTGCGTGTGAGGGGAAGAGGTGGGGCCGGGGAGGGGAGTCGAGTGGAACGTAGTTAAGGTCTCTAATTGATTATCAGACCGATCGAGCGTGCAGTCACCCCGCAAAGTGGGAACAATGGAGGATATCCACGGCCGTGGATGTCCACGGAGACATCCTGACTTATATTTATCGGCAACGCGGCACGGCAACAACGTATTGTTCGTACGAAGGGGCAACCTCGAGGTGCTTTCTCAGACACTACTCGTTTATGGCGGCTAATTACCGTAATTGGTCCCGCCGTTATAACGACGACGTTTAAGGATACCTCGCGCCGTTAGCATACAAAAGTACAATAATTCGAGGGGCGCACCGGCGATTTCTCTTAAGGCAATCGCAGCCTCTATAATGGCGAGCGTACACGGGCTCCTCTTTTTTGCGATCTTTTCGCGTTAGGCTCGCATCGAACCCCCGAAGGAAGCGGCGCGCACGACCGAGCCTCGTGTAAATTGGAAAGGTGGCAGCACCGAGCCTGGAATTTTAACTCGTCGTTGTATTATATACGAATGCTACGATACCACTATTCGATTGGTCAACCTGTCAACTGAGACTTGTCAAGATAGAACCAAAGGGAGATCACATTACGAGGTGGTAATTAATAAGCCCTAAACATGCAACGAAATTAAATCTACTCTAACCTCTAACTTATCTTTTTCAGTAAATGGTATGTGAAAGTAATTGAATGAACTGAAGATAGATTTCTAGCCGTTTCCCACCGAAAGTCGAGAATGAATTTCCACTCGATCCGCATCCCCAATCAGAGGGATGAAAAATCGGTCGATCACGCATCGCGGCCAGTATTAAAGGCTGCCCAGGGATTCCTGGTAGCATCTGCCTACTGTCCTGAATCTCCTGACGAAGGGAGGATCGATCCTCATTCACATCGAGTGCATGCTGAAGGATGCTAAGCCGGATTATCCAGGCTATGTGAGCCAAAACATCCCGCGGGAGGATGTAGCGACGCTGACGGGCGACTCGCATCCAGAGACCAGATGCGGGAGTCATGAGACTTGGAATTTAGCCATATTTTAGCTGAAATATTCTTTGTCATGCCGGGGCTTCCTTTCAACCTTAGTGGGGCATGAGGTGGTCCTTGATTTGCTGCTACGATAAAAAATTACTTCTTCGTACACACTTACGGGGGACACTGTCATTAAGAATGTAACTGGATTGTATTTCGGAATTGACGGATAAAAGAAAATAATATTTAATATTAATTCGCTGGAACGAAAATGCATTCGTTGAAAAAACGAGTTGTTCCCAAAACAGTGGAAGACTCCCACGCTTTCCAGAATCCCCCAGGAGACGTTACACCGATTCCCAGTCACATAACTCGTGTACCAGCCAGCAGTGAGCAAATTATCTGTCCGACCGATGTCGTACGAGGCTGCTGAAAGCTGTAAATCGTCTGATAAAGCTCTTTGACCGGCCGAAACTGTAACTTTTGAAGCGTCCGATAAGGGTTTCGTGACGGCCAAGGATGAAACCGCTTTTCGGGGGCCCTCGCGAGTAGACGAATGATGACGCCTTCGAACGTTAACGAGCAACAAACCGGGGACCGTTTTGGTCGATGAGAAAGGGCGTAACCCCGTGACATTCCTTTCACGACGAGGCGTCCTCCGGTTTAATGGCCCTCGTCCAGATTACGAGAAAAGAAATTTGGCTCCGCGCGGCAATGTTTCTCCAACCCGAGACACGTGTTCGGGCTCACGATTTTATAAGCGACCAATACCCCTTCTCAGCTGGAAGGGATCTCGCATCCTTCCCCAGTGACCCAGGGATCGTCCTGACGTAAATTCTACCGAGACAGTTTTCAGGAAGATATTTGGTCTGATGCCTTTTTCTTCGAGAGTGGAGTCAGCATATACCATTCGAAATACACGTAGGATTAAGTATATTCAATGGTTCTCAGAGTGGATGAGCAAGTATTTGTCATCATATTATACAATCATAAGTAGCCAACTGAAAATTTGATCGATAAGACAGATCGTTCTGTTCGCAATATAGAACCCTTGGTCGATATGACAGGTGACTCTGCTGCAAATGTAGAGCGCCTAGACGGTAATACACTTCCCTCTAGTGGTAACGTGGTTCTACATTACCAACCCTTACCGACAAAATGCCCTATATTACCGTCGCACTACTCCACCTTACCAAGTAGACCAGTACCTCTATTTCTGCATTCGAATTCATGCGTTAGGGACCCGCCACCCTACCGACAGCGTCCTGCCGTCGCTGTCGCAAGAATCTTTCCAGTATCGACTCCTACTTTAAGGACACCCAGTACACCCAGTCGTCCCCGTGTTTCCGCAGTGTGTGGCAGGTGGAAGCGAGCTCTCGCTTCCAGGAAACCTCAGGAGCCCGCGGTGATGTGCGAGGAACGACGAGCACGAAGGGCCACGATATAAGCGCGGTGAGCAACCACGTCCCTAAATTCTTCT